TGCGCCCAAAACTGCCTTGTTGTTTACGCTATGGCCAGTGATTATTGTTGCTGTTGTTGTTTTTAAACAGTCTTTAATAAGAAATGCGTAAATATTGATTTGTTTTTTACTTTCAATTCTATACTCGATATTCGAAAGACTTAGAACACGAACTTGCTCAGCAGAGACTTTTGCTTAGAACGCAATAGTTTTGCCCCGAGCTGCACAAAAAATTAACAAGAAGAAGAAGTTAAATGGAAATACCCAACAAAAACATTTAGAAAAGAACCACCAAATGGGAAAAAACAACAGAAAAAAAAAAATAATAATAGCTTGAAAGTTCTGCGCAAAAAACTGTCTAAACTGTCTTTGGCCAGCCAGAGTTCTAGCAACGCACAGCACGTACACAATTCCACATCCAATGGCGTTTCATCATCATCATCAACGCCATCATATTGTCGGACGCGAGTCGACGAGTCCCAAAAATAATGATGATTTATATATCCACTAAATACATTAAATTTTTGTTTGAGCCATGTTGTGCTGGCTGTTTTCCATTCTTTCATTATTGTTTGTCTTTTATTTGTCCAAGAATTTGTTGACCCCCATGCTTGCTTTTTGGCCAGCTGGCCACCGCCTCGTCAACTGTTTTTGCTTTCTACACCTTTACGAGCTTCACGAACACGAATCTAGACGGCCATAGGTTCTAAGCGACCAAACCAATGATAGAACGAAACAACCAACTGACCACCACTCCATAATTTTCTAAGCAACGTTTTTATTTATTTTTATTTTTTTCAGTTTTGTCAGTTTTTTCACTTCTTTGTGCGTTTGTAAGTTTGTACAGTGATTTGCTTTATTGTTGCTTGCACGTTCATTAGAACATTTTGCCAGGCGGGCAGTTGCCTGTGGCTGTAGCTTCTATATGCTTCAGCAACAAACGAGAGTGGATCGAGAAATCGATGACCCCTCACTATTTTCTACTATTATTTGTAAGATCTATACTACGAACTTTATTGCATGCTCTATATCCGACATACTTGTATGCCCAAATTTCTATGTAGCTGTCTTAATTTATATTTACTGAGAGTTTTATATTTTGCATATTCGTATAGATAAAGAGGCATATCATTTAGTTTTGTGGCATCAGCATCATAACAGGGAAGTTATTATTATAGCGAACGGAAAATAGGCTTCTGTTCGAATTTGGTTTGTTATTTCAATTTAAACTGCAAAATTTTTCATTGGTCACTGATAATATAAATAATTAGAGTAAATATTGTGTTTTTAATAATATAAGCCCAGAGTAGGTTTCAACAATCTCGTCTCTGGTATCGTAGCGCCGAACTATATAGCCAATTGTTCCAAGGCTCTTACACACAATCGTTTTAATTTCGTGCCCTAATATTCATATCACAGTAAAAATAAGCTTTTCACAATCTTTTCCACCAAGTCGTTTAAGAAAAGCTATCGACTATAGAAAATTAAAATAAACAGCATACTACACGTATATGCCTAAAGTCTATAAAGCTTAAAAGAAAAATAGAAACTAAAAAGAATTGTCTTATCCATAAATAATTATAATTATAAAAATAATCTTATCACTGTAAAGATATGGTTTTCACAATCTTTTCCAGCCAATCATGTAAGAAATAATATCGCCTATAGAAAAAATTAAATTAATAACATACTTTTAGGTCTATTAAACTTAAAAGAAACATAGAAATTTAAAAAAAAATTGTTTTATCTATAAATAATTATAATCAGAAAAATAAAATCCTACAGTAGAACTTAAGGTAACTGTCCAAATATTCTTATCACAGTAAGCTTTTCACAATCGTATCAAATCTTCATGGAAACAATAAAATTAACAACATAATATTAAGTCTATTAAGCTTCAAAGAAATATAGGAGTTAAAACAAATTTGGTTTGTCTATAAATAATTATACATTCTTTATTATTGAGGCATTGGCCTTGCCTCACTGATCCGCCCTCGTATATACAAAAATACGCATGTATTTATGTGCGTGTGAGGAGGCTATGTAAGAACGCCATAGCTTATGTGTTCGCATGTAATTGTTATTTATAGAAAATGATAGTAAGTGTTGCAGAGCTAATGACTTTTTGTACACAATTCAGATGTGTCTGTCTGCCTGTCTTTATTTTTTTTCTGCCAACAATTCGCCGCTTGACGACCGCCTTTGACATGGACTTTTATGCCCTTGCGTAGTCGCTTTTAAGCTTTTAGATCTCCTCTTTGATTTATTTGTCTTTTGATTCGCTTTTAAGCATCTATATGCTTTGTGTGCGCTGCCTTACAGGAGTTACGAGTACGCTTTGTCTTCAGCTTCTTTTTGTGGCATGTTTCCAGCTCTGACAATTGCGCGCGTTTCTTCAGCTTATGGCGGGCCATGTCAGGCATAAAGTTCAAGGTTATACGAAGTGCTAATGCTAAAAATATTGATTACAACTGGTGAGTGGTATTTTCCTGAGCCTTAGGCTCTCAAGACTTGTCGGATTTTGGGCTGGCTGCTTATTAAATTTTCGTTATGTAAAGGCAATTTAAATTTGTTGCGTTCGTTTATTTCATTTTTTGGAAATCACGATCTTACTCGCACATTTGTGAAGCTACGTTTTTTGAGTTTGAATTTTATATGCTTCGATTATGATCGAGGTGAGGCATGTAAAGTTGTAAATCATGTACATTTAAATGCTTTTCTTACGTCATTACATTCAACAAGAAACTGAGCTCTACATGTGATTGCCTTAACAGGTAATGAACATTAAAAAAATTGCCAATTAACATTAAAAGATAACTATCAGCATTAATTGGTGAGATATATACGTACTTTTAGTTTTGTTAATTATTTAAAAAGGCAAGTAAGTTAATAAATTATTGTATAATGCTGAATTTCATATTAAAAGAATGTTTGGTAAGACTTAATTTTAATTTAAATTTAAAAATCTATTATAGATTTCACCGATCTGTTAATGCAACCTAATTATTTAATCGAGTTATCTTTAAGCGGAAAATACTCAGCCGGTAAAGGACTTTGCCATTGTTCTGAAAACTACATTCCACTTTATAAGAGATGTTTAAATTAGTTTTTGATTTTAAAATCATATTCTTTGAGCAATTACATAAGAATATATGTATCGATATTGACAATTGATGTCTAAAATGGTTCTTATTGTAAAAATGTTTAAATTATATATACATTTTTAATTCTTATTATTTGATATAATAGTACATATCACAAATGATATGGGATGAATTATAAACATATCTAAAAGTAATGCTCTCTATACTTCTTAATTTATGGGTCTGTATTATATAATACTTTTTGCAGAAAGAATTTGATAATTTCGTTTATTCGAAATCAACTGATTTGGCGAACGGAAAAGTTGCCGTCCGTTTACAATTATAGAATCATTCGATTCAATGCGGAAAAACAAACAAACAAACAAGTAAGCAAACAAACAGCAAACAATTACATGCAACTAGTTGGTGGCTCTCTAGAGCGCCTATTGGTGAGAGCAGCGTGCCGTTTTAACCAGCCACACAGCAAACGGGTTAAGAGAATGAGAACAAGTGGCAATCGGTGATGGCGGACAGCGGCTTTGGCTAACACTTGGAGCTTGAGTTCCGAATTGGATGCGCTTGGCTTGCGCAGATTCTAAACTTGTTAGAAGCAGCGCGATGAGAGAGAGAGTACTGCCGGCCTCTGTCAAGATCAATGCTGGCGCTGCTGTTGCTGCTGGTGCTGCTGCCAAAGCCTTGAAAATGTTGTAATTTTACGCTCGCACGCTCAATTTGCCCGCATGGGAGCGCAACGTGCGGCGCGTTTGAATGAATGAGTTAGAGGCGTTTAGAACTATTGCGAAAAAAGCATTGGAGCGCAATTGAAGAGCGAGGCGAGGCGCTCGGCTCAACATGCGCCGACAGACTGCGAAGGTTCTGTCCACAAATACCAATGCCAGCTGAAGAGATACCTGAACAAACACTCACACGCTCACACACACATCTACCTTGAATGAAAGTTCTGGCCTGTTGCGCTCACCTACGAGAAAGAGATACACGATGCTTCCTCGCTCAATGTAAGTGGCAGCGGCTGCGACGACGACGATCGCTCTGTTTGATGGTGTGCGTGCGATCCAGAACCTGAGACACCTGAGCTGCTGCCGTCGAGGTGTGCGTGAGCACTCATTTGAAGAGAAAGAAGAGTCAGTCCGCATATGCGATGGATGGCTGTAGAAAGCCGCTGTCCATGTATTAGTGCGTGTAATGAAAAGTCTATCTGTCTGCTGCCGCCGCTGCCGCTGCTGCTGCTGCTTTCAGAAGCCTCTAACGACGACGACGACGTCGTATTGCTGTTCGACATTGAAGTCGAGCTGCGACTCATCCGTAGTTCAGTTTCCCGTAAGCAACAAAACGATCGAGACATGGTTTCGTAAGCACCACGCGTTACGTTTATCGTTTTTAGAAGTGCAGACGACTGTTCCAAGCAGCAGCAGTAGTAGAGACTACAACAACAATAGCAACAACAACAACAGCAACACCAACCACAAAAGAACGATCTGAAACTAAACATTTTTGTGTCAATCAACAATCAATTGAAAATTCGCATTTCCCGAGAGTGTGCATGCCAGTGTGTGAGAATGTGAGTGTGTAGCGCAAAAGCACTAAAAAATATAATAAACAGCAACAACAAGAGCCACCTATAACCACCCACGGTGCAAAAGTCCAACGAGTGTTGTAGTTTAAGCCACAATAAGTGACATCGATCGATAAGACTGCATTTAATGATATCGTAGCTTAATTCACATGCCTCTCCATATGCAATCAATTTGAAATTATAATTAAGCAATTAGTTCAATTTAATAAACGTGCATTTCTAAGCAATAACAACAACAACAACAGCAACAAATATCAATTAAGAAAATAAACCCAAAATTGTGCAAACAAAATATATTGAGAGTTAAAAAATTAAAACAAAATCCACACGACGCGCCCAACTGGCGATTTGTGATTTAATTGAAACTCCCAAAAATAACAACAAAAGCGTTTAGGCCTTGGGGATTTATTACGTAATGGATTTAAAATTAGCATCAGCAGCCACAGTAGCAGCAGCCGCCGCACCAATACCAACAACAGAGAGCGCAGTATGGATATGCATTTAAACAATGAAAATGGTAAGCATTACTTTTTTTATTTGTACTTTGTTTTAAGCATTTTTTTATTGCACTTTTTGCAGTTGTAATTCAAGCTTGTGGTTGTTAGCTAAACTGAACACTTAAGTACTAGTTTTTCAAGTAACTTATGGGTCTTAATTCATATGCATAGACTGTAGACTGTTGTCATCACTTTAAGGGGCAATTGGTTAGATAGCAACAAAGGTTCTTTAGGGGCTTTTTTAACTTCCAGGAAGTGTTCTAACAGCTCTTATACCAGCAACTATTATCAAGCGTCTATCAAAAAACATGAACTCTCTCGTTATATATACAAGTATATATGTTTACAAATGTGTCTAATATATGTTTTAGGGACTTCTTTAATACGGTTGTAGCGAAGGATTTAAAAGTTATTCTTTTGCAACTTGCAATCACGATAAGATGATAAGAATATACAAATCATTTCTATTTCTGTTCTCGAAATTTGGTCACATTTGAAGCAACAATAATCTTACCTTCAATTATGCAACAGCCTATTCAACATTATCCCTCATTCATTCTCTTGTCTTACTTATTGCTTTTCTATTGTACACTTAAATCTTTTAATGATAATTGCAAGAGTCTTAAACAATTAATGGTGGAAGTGTTGACGTCGGAATGTGTAATGGTTAAAGCTGGCTTGAAGTAATTTAGAAACATATTAATTAAATTGGAGATTTGGTAATTGAGTAAAGCACTCAACCTTGACAAAATTATATAACATCCAAAGTTAGTTTCTCAATTCGAAGTTAAAAAAAAAAAACAAACATACGATGCATTGTTATTATTAATATTTATGTCTCATTTATTAAATTAAACGCTGCTTCCTTTTATTTGTGAGCACAATCGCTTCTTCATTTCTGACATTATCCATCACATTGCTTAAAGTAAGCTTTAAACAATGTTATTCTGAGAAAGAAAGAAAGAACAAATATGAATAATATTGTAGACATGATTCATTAAGCTGAGCTTTATATCACTTTTTGTTTTGTCGCACAAAGCTCAAACAAAACGCCCAATTTGGACACCTTGTTGTTGTTGTTTTTGTTGCTCAAATAATTAAACTTGATTACTATATATATACATACATATATCTGCAGTGATGCTGCCACTATAGTTCTATGCATATATGTTCTATTCCTCTAACTCTATACTAATTCCCAAGCAATTCCTATATAGAAGCCATTATTCATGATTTTGATGACTGGCGTAAAAAAAACGCAAATTATGGGTCTCTACAAATTACTCATTGACGCATGGAGCAATTGACTGACTGACAGCACATACATAGTTCACTAAATACTCGTACATATGTATGCGTGCGTTTAATTTTAACCATGATGGCAGACTCTTCTATCTATTTTTTTTTTTTTTTTTGTTTTTTGTGAAGACTTTCTACATGAGTACATTCTGCCAAACTAACGACCCACGCGTTATGCCTTAACTTAATAATAATGTTATATAATAAGCCAGCGAGGCAAAACTTGTTCTAAGCCCAAAATAAAAAAAATAACCGAAATTAAGAATAAAAATCGAATATGGAAAAAAGGCGCACTAAGAGGCCGGGCTGTCAAGAGGCCGCCGGTGATTAATTACAGGCCACCAGCAAAATGGTTTGGCTTGGCAAGAGCTTAAGACAATAGACCTGAAGCTTTGAGAAATTCAAAAGGCACTAAGCAACTTGCTACTATTTTCCGCAACAATAAAGACAAGCAGGCAGGCAGGCAAGCAGGCGTTCTATGTATTAGAAAAATTATAAATGTTAAATTTAATAATAAACACAAACAAAAATAATGGAAGCGAAATGAGCAGCGCAAAAAGAAAATAATTAACCAAACCAGTTTTGGCTTAAACAAATAGCAAACAACAACAATATCAACAACAACAATAAACACAACATAGAGTTGTTGGGGAGACGTGCGGCACACGCTCAAAAATAATTGGCGACGTAAGGCAGAAAAACCTTGACTTTGACTTTAAATGACTCGCAGCTAACGTTGGCAGCGCTGCCGCTGCTGCTGCAGTTGACGTCGCCGTCGCCATCGGCGCAAAAACACACATAAGTGTATATCCATTTGTAGTATAGACAACAATCACACTTCATTGCTATAAAATATTGCGTATAAACAGACAGAATTGAAATGAAACCGAAGCGTTAACAAAGTCGCCGACGGCGATTTCCGCAGCAATTGCTGAATGAACAAGTCCAATCGGATCGGATCGGATCTGATCGCATCAAATCGAATTGAAATGCAAAATTCAGTTTCAATATCAAGGTCGTTGCTCGTCGTCATCGTCATCGCTCGCGCTCGAGATAGTGGAGCGTGAGATTGCACAGCTGCTTGTAAGCAGCTGGCCAAGACGCAATTCCCTGTTGGCCCACCTGCTTGGGCATGATTTAAATTGGCATATGCAATGCATAGAATTTGTTATTATTATAAAAAAAAACAAAAACAAATAAACTCATTAGAAATTTAAATGAGACAACCAACAGCTTCACTCTGCTGCTGCCGTTGTTGTTGTTGCTGTTGACTGTCACTGACTGCCCCAGCTATAGTCAGAAATGGGCCTGGCCATTTGGCTGACTCTCTGCTGTTGTTATGTCAGCGAGTTCAATGAACAGACGCAATGCGAGCTGCGCGCGCGCGCGCCCACTTTGCCAAAACAAAAGACTTAGGCAACGAACTTGCTGCAAACAGAAGTTCAAGTCGTCGCTCTCTCTGCCGGCGTCGCTCCAAGAGGCGCACGCGCACGCGTCAGCTTGGCCACGGTTTTCATTTTCATTTGAGCAGCCAATGCGGCCAAGGTGCAGGCACTGTATAGCCCAAAGGCTTCAAGTTAGCATTAGATGAAGAAGAAGAAGAAGTAGCTGCGGCTGCGGCTGCCACGGTTGCAGTCGCTTTGGCAAGGGCGCGCCAACAAAAAGTGAATCTGCCGCTTGACTGGCTTGAACGACGCCAAGAACCAGTTCATTGCAATTTAGTGGCCAATCTTAGCGGAATGAGCAGAATGAGCGAAGGTGGAGAAGGAGGTGAGGGGAGAGGCATGGAGGATGTAATGCAGCCAGTTGGGGCAGGTTGTGCGGCAGTTGTTGACCGACGCCGACTGCAGCAGAGCTGGAATCATTTGCCGTGAAAAGGGCGTTCAACTGGCAAATGTTGCCATGCTCATGTGCCCATTGCCCATGGCATGTTGAGGTTCTTGCCACCAAGTTGCTGCCACAGCAGCAACAGCAGCCAGAGCAGCACCAACAGCAGCCACACTTGGTTATGGCCAACGAGTTTCTGAATTCTGTTGCACTTTTTTTTATATTTTTTTATATGTATATATTTATTTTCTAAGGCCAATGCCTGCAACTCGTCGTCGTCCTCTTCGTATTCACGTCATGAAAAGGGAATCAAATCACTCTTACTCTTTGCCAACAACCAAGCAGCCAACTCTACTTTGCCGGTCCATGCCTGTATTTGTGGGCTCGTATGTGTTTTGGATCTGAGGTTATTGACTTCTTCTTCATCTCCATCTTCGTCTTCCTCTTGCTCTTCTACTTGGGCTTGTTAGTGTTCTTGTAGCGGCTTTTGCTTTCTGTGCTGCAAGCAATTTGAATTGTTGCTCGATTGCTCAGCAATGTGCATGTTGCTGCAACATTTATGTTGCGAGGGCATGCCCTTTGCACAGTGAGTGATGCACTTGTCTTGCTTGATAGGCTCCCAGGTAAATGCCAAGTCATGCCAAAGCAACCATTTCAAGACTCTCTTAAGATCTTGAAGAGACACCTGTAAACAAATCAAATCGAATGAAATAAAAACTAAGAGAGCCGCTCAATGCGAACCAGGAAGAAAGTGTGCGCAGCATTGAAAACAAACCATACAAAAGAATGAACCGAAAGACGTTGGCGTCGAAGAGGCAGAAGAAGAAAAATAAAAAGAAAAAAAAAACAGAAAAAGCAACAACAACAGCAACAGCGGCAACACAAACAAGTTCGCCAGTTCAATGACCGACCTACTCAAGCGCGTTATAACCAAAGCAACATACACATAAACGCATACAAACGCACATAGACTCTGGCAGACAGAGAGATAGAGTGGGAGAGAGTAAGAGAGTGGAGCGCGACGACGACGCTTGGCAACTGGCTTCTGTGTCTTTTGTTGTTATTGCTGTTGTAGTTGTTGTTTGTCTTGTTGCTGTTGTTGCCTCGTTTGTTGGCCCGATTGCTGGTGGAGAGCGCAAGCGCATGCGCAGAGTTGCCGTCGCTTTGAACTTTGCAGATGCGGGCGACAGGTTCTATGCCAAGCCATCATTATTGCTGGCGTTGTTGTTGTTGCTTGACACTCTTGCTGTTGCTGTCTGTATTGTTGCAACTAGCTGTAAACTTTGCCATGTTGTTGTTGTTGTTATTGTTGCTGCCGTGGCTGTTGTGCATTGACTGTGACATTGAAGCTGAGCTTCGTGTCGATCAACACAGTGCGCTCTTTTTTTTGGAGTTCTTCTTTTGTTTAATTTGAATAAATAGTTTTGTTGCCATTGTTGCTGCTGCTGCTGCTGCTGTTAATGTTGTTGTTGCTACAATAAAATTATGGCCATTTACACGCCGCGCATACAAACAAAATCACGTAATAGCTGTAAGTTTTATTGTCATGATTTAGCTTTGGGGGTCAGAAGAGCAGGCGCGCCTTTTAACGAAATGCTCTTCCATTTAATGCTTGCTTCATTTTTTTTTTTATTATTAGCGCACTTACACTCTAACGGTACTTGTACTTCTTGTTTTTGGATTTTGGTGATTTATGGCACGTAATGTAATTTTTACAGTTTTTGGTTGTATCAGAAAAACGTGTCTGACATTTTAAGTAGTCATCACATTTTAAGACTATTGTTGTTATGCTTAGCTTTTTAGCTGAGCTTAAAGCGCTCGACAATTTTGCATAACATGGCGATTTCCGGTTTCGCTCTAGTTCATTGTCAACTGTCAGTTTGCAAGAGTGGCA